TTATATTGACCGACTAGAAGAAAGCATGTGCAAGAGAGCAGCAATCCACAAGTCGGCGTTGTAAAGGCCCTGCATGAAGCCTCCAACTGCATCGCAAGCTTGCTGCATGTACAACATGATCGGGTCCACATCTCGCTTGCATTTGTCTGGGTGCTGACTGCAGACATACTGTATGAACCTGACCAGGGTTGTCGTGTCCGCACACTTGCTCCAGGTTCCCGTTGGGTAGTACTTCGTATTGTCCGTATATGTAAGTTTCTCACGGTTGAGGACAGTGAGGTGCAATGGGGCCTTGGCTTCTTTTCGCCACTGTTGAAGAGACTTTGTGCAGATCTCTAGCTGGGCCTCGACTGAATTGTCTCCCATTGGACCAGCAAAGCAGATAGGCAGCAGATACACCAGACAGGATGCTGCAAAATCTTGTCCAACACCAGCCAAATAGATGTGAAACAGATCTGGCAAATAGAATTTAGCCGGGTCCCTCTTGTATCCAAGTGAAGATAGTAACATACCTCCTGGCGTTGTCCAGGGTGGTTCTGGCACGCCGGCTTGCTGCTCGAGATCCTTCTGCACCTTCCACGCCGGAAGCTTGGATCCAATGTCTTCGAACGGAAGACTGATATCCCCAGCCAGACACCAGGGACAGCATTGCCCCGTCACTTTCATGGGCTTGCTAGGATCAAGGGGCTTCTTCCTAGCCGTTGAATACCACCGTGTCAATCGTCCGGCTCGAACCTGCATTTTTAGATCGCCTTTGAGTCCTAAAAGTACTAGTCTCAGTACGCGGCCTTGGTACGCAATGCCCTCCTCGAAACATTCAAGTAAGTCTTCAGCAAATGTTTCCAAGAGCTGCTGGAACGCACTTTCGTTTGCTTTGTGAAAAGCAGCCGGCATGGAAGCATATAAATAATGGGTTTCGTAGGAATGACCCAGCAGAGCTAGTCGAGCTTTGTCACCAACCTTCCGAAACGATCGAATACCAGGATCCTTCCCACTCTTTTTCCCACGTCCACTGCCGATGACGGCACTCCAATCAAAGATCATGTTCTCCGATTTCTTGTACCCTCTCCCTCCATCGATGTGTGCCATAATGGGGATACAGTCTTGAAGAAGTATACTATCATCCTTGTCGAACAACTCAAAGTCGGGATGTATCTTCTGATAGTTTGACCAAAACTCAGTGAGAATGCCTTGGGCAGCATTAGGACTTCTCCCTCCCAGGAGTTTGTTGAGATGTCCTGTTTCTGCCATATAAGCAAATATGTTCAAAGGCTTCAGCCGAGGAAACCCGTTCAGATCTTTCTTGTTCATAATCGTATCAAGAGGAATGGGCAGGCTAAGACCATGAGCTTCCAGCAAGCCATGCATCTTTTCTTCAGCATCAGAGGTTTTCAACCGAGCAACCTTCTGCACAAAGTCGCAGCCTGCGCTCTGGAAAGCTCCCAAACCATCGGCGTCCAATGCTTTTGCAAGGTCTACCATCTTCTTGCACGGCACCTCAGCTCAGGAGATGTGGTCTTTTCGGATTGGGCCTTCTTTAATCCACTTCTGGGGCTACATACAGGGTTGGCGAGGAAAGTTTAGGTGTTTGTTTCTATGGACTCTTTGGGGCATATATAGGTGGGGTTTACTGAACTTTGCCTAATGATCAGGACATATGAATTCGGAACGATAGGATATCATCTTTTAGTCTCGGCCTGTGTGACAAAAAAAAGAAGATGATCCTGATATCGCCAAGACTTCTCAATACAGTTGAGCTGTGCCTAGTCTTAGACATTTGAGGTTTTGTATATGGACACTGGGAAACTAGGCAAAGCATTGGGTCATTAGCAGCAGCAGCAGCAGCAGCAGTGTCAGCAAGCAGCAACAAGACCCCACAGGACATAACTATGCACCCATAAAGCCTCTACAAAGGCATGTTGCTCCATGCTGAGAACAAATATAGAGCACAACAGCAAGCCTGTTTGAGAAACGAAGTCAGACACCAATACCCAAGTGAGCCCAAGTCTATAGTACTGAATAGCAACCAGGAGTTATGTTTAAGTGGGAATGCTGTATACTGATGCAGAACCATTGCCCATACGGGCTCAAAGATGCCCTCGAGGCCTTGTCAGCCAGTCTTTGGGGCTCAAATCAATTGGAGGTAGTGGTGGTGTCTAGGAGTCTTGGGTTCATCCAAACAGTAGAAGGTTTGCATAGACTTGCATTAGACTTCAATACACTAATATAGGCAAGGTCTCTCCATACTGAAATGTCTATTGCATGTCATTCAGTGCCAGCAGCAGTTGCTACATTGAAACATGCTTGGGCTTTCAGTGCTAGGGCTTCTTTCCTTCAGACCCATAGTGTAGATATATCTTGTGCTGCCCCACCAGCTGATTCATCCCCAATCCCATAACCCTAAAGCTGCAACAACAGAAAACAAACAGAGACTGGAACTAAGCCCTTCCACGACCAGCAGAACCTTTCACGAGAGATTTCTAGTTTCTATCCTGGAGTGGCTATCATCTGAAGGTAAAGCATGTTTGCCTCGGACCCCAAGCCAGAGCTCACTATTCTGTAATGCTAAATTGAAGCTAGTCCAAGGCCGCAACTCCAGATCCGACAGCATCGGCCATGAACTTGGCTGTTGCGGAGGGCTTCTTTGGACCTGGCTGAGAGTCGCTTTTATTTATGGGTTGAATTCAGTTTCACAGATGATTCCCAGCGCTCTGCAGACATACAGGATTTGAACTTCGGAGCATGAACTCATTTCTGCTTCTGGAACGACCATGCTTGGGATTACCCAGTGCACCTAGCTCAAATTGTTTCGATGTTTATGTAACATCATCGCTTGCACATATTGAAAGCAGCAGGACAGTTTCCTGCTGGAGGCACTCCCGTGCGAAGTTCTGCGCACAGGTTGGCCACAAGATAACAAAGCTCCGATCCACAGAATCATTCTGCGTTTTCCTTCTTTTCAGCCTTCGGCTTGCGAAGGAGGGGCCTGAGCAAGGACCCATGGGCACCAGGCGGTGAATACTCTTAACAGTATACACTAACAGCAGCAGCAGCATTCATTGCGTATATATATATATATATATATATATAGTAAACAGTACCAGGCCAGTTAATTCTAGAACATAATATATAGATGTATATATATACATATATTTATATATGTATAGGTACATATTATCCCATAAAGTGATCTATTATGCTGGTGCGGTATAGTACCACTATATACGACTTAGAGTCGCAGATGCAGCAGCGCTAGCAGTAGCAAGAGCAGCAGCAGCAGCACAGACCTAGCTGTAGCAGTTCAAGAGTTAAGTAGTATAGCAGCAGTAGGACTAGAAGTGATAGGAGTGGTAACTGTTAGATAGTAACATACATATATATATATATATATACAATAATAATATATATATATATATATATATATATATATATAATGTATATACAATACATATATATATATATATATATGTATATATATATATATATATATTATATATATTTATGATGTATGATAAGTATATAATTGCACAGGTTTGCTACATAGGATACAAGTAATTTACAGCATGCTTGAATGACCGAAGTGGTGGCCCCTTAGACGGTTGTACGGACTCGCACCCCTTTAACCATCTAGTCTGTTTGGCTTTAGAGCTCAGTTTGCAGGTGACGAGTGTGCTGACAGGGTGCACGAGGTTGTTTGGAGGTATGGGGGGTTGGTGGATTGCCATTCTTTGGAATTCATGGACCCAGTGGATAGATTCTTAATCGGTGACCGAAAAGGACGACTACAAAATTAAAGAACATTTGGTATGCCCCTAGGCAGGCATATATGTGTATAGATGTGTCTGTATACTAGGTAGGAACGACAACAACAACAAGCACATCCTTCACAACAACTTTCGTAGCAGTAAACAATCTTAACAGCAGCATCCATACTCACATAGACGCCAGCAGTGATACCGACCCTATGTATTTGTGGTTCTCTTCCTCTTGAGTTGGATAAACATACTGCCCTAGAACAGGTGTAGCAACCGTATCTATATACAGATTCACTAACACACCATTTTCCCAGTTCCCAACAGCTCTCACATTATAGAGCTTCTTTGGCCGAGGCTCCGAGTGCTGCGGTCCAAGCCATTCCATACACTGCACCTTGGCAGAGAATGAAGCCAAAAAAGAACACTAAATCTGTGTGGGCGCCCTTGCAGAGTCTAACACAATTGTAGCTGAGCCCTTTGCAGTTTCTTGGCATTCGTCAAGACATCCATGATGGCGGCTTCGCACCTGAGGATAATATGTAAAGAGTCAAACCCCGAGATACATTTGGAGATTCACAGCATTCTTTAAAGTAGTCCAGGGGCTTCTCATCCTTTTTGTCCACTGACTTGTTGACCTCGACCCGGGCTGAGATATCCGTGATCTTCTCGTACAGAACATCAACCTTGCCCTTGAGATCGTTCAGTTTGTCCAGAAACCTAAGACAGCAAATTAAAAGAGAGGCGCAGACATACAGTGGGCAGTTTGCATGGAGGGCCAGAAGCACGCAGAAGAAGAAATGCCAAGAGTCTCCTTGGCCCGCTCCTTCTTGTCTTCCGGCAAAGAAGCAAGCTTCTCCTTGAGGGTAGCCACCTTTTCTCCCAAGGCTAGCATTTCCTTCATCTCGATATCCAACTTCTCAGCCTGGACATACTTATACATATATAATATATAATAAAATATAATAGAGAATATATAATATATAATATATAATATATAATAATATATATAATATGTCATTTATAATATATAATATAATATATATATATATATATATATATATAATATTGTTCAGGAAAGCTCCCGCCCAAGAAACCAAACACAAAACCCAATCGCCTCCGTCTTCTTGCGCTCTTGGTCGAGCCCCGTCTCTAGCTTCGGGTTCAGCTGCTTCACACCGAGATCATGCACACCAGAACTCAGTTTGAAATCACCCACATGATCCTGCCCTTCCACTTGCTCGCTGAGGCTTGAGGTGTTCTTCACACGTTTCACACCTTTCACCCTCGTCCTGCACCAATAGTATTTGATCTTCTTGTCGACGAGGTCCGTCCTAAATAGTTCATCAGAAGTATTCATGCTATCACTTGGTCAGAGCACGGCATCACTTAAGTGCAGAGGCCTTCCCAATAGATCAGCCGAGGTGCAGCACCAGATCATCACCATTGGCCGGATCATTGCACCAGGCGACAGTGTTGTCGACGCGGGCCCTCGGATGCGTATATAGAGGCAGGTCTGTTCGGCACAAATGGATACATGTACACACTGGCATCGATGTGTGAATGAAGCCTATGATGCATCACAATTGTTGCGCATGATAATATGGAGTTGCTGCCATATATTTAGGCACTGCTGCAGTTCTTGGGCAGCATGTATCATGTTTATAATGCATGTGGGCCTATATCTCAAAACTCAAGTACAACATCGGATTCATGCGATGTGTAAGCGGCAGTGCAGACCAGGTTTGTGTTAGTGTGCAAGTTTGTCGACATGGGCTGATGTTGTCATATTCCATCTTTTGCACTGCAGTCTTACACCTGCCATATATGCATCAAAGTGGGTTTCAATCGGGGGCATAGTTGATCAGAGCCTGGAGGCTGTACAGCTTCATGGGTTCAAGATATTTCTGGTGATCAAGGCTTGGGCCAGACCTAATCTATTTACACTTGGCACACTTTTGGTTTGGGGGCTTTGGTCACTCTGCTAGAGTGGGGCATTCTATGAATACTGCTGTCCTAGTATATCTGCAACCCTCATCACATTGACTTCTTGGGACAGTACTTAGAGCCGGCCCAGAAACCAAGCTTCCAAAGACCGAACCACCTTTAGAACATCGGCAAATTATGATACACCACACCTGCTAGGTGTAATTGACAAGCCACTGAGGGTAAAAGAGCAACTTGCTCATCTCTTGCGGTGTATAGTACCCACCCTCCTCATCCAGCTCTGCTGACTTCTCAGAAGTTTTCTTCAAAGTCACTTTGCGGATGAACTGCGCCTGCAGGCAACAAAGGCCATTGACCCCACAACATCCATGCAGAACTTAAAGCTTTAGGCAGACATGGGGTAGATACAAAAGAACATGTATATAGTGCTGTAGCAGCAGTAAACACTGAGTGCTCTGACACGTAGCAGCACTATTTGACAGCACATAAGCTAGAACTGTATAGAGGGATGAAGGGTATATAGTGTCAAGAAACGATGGTAACAATAGTTTGGAACAACCTTTTTAAATGGTAATAGTGCAAGTAATATTTCACGCTGCATGAATACGGCCCGGTCCTTGTCGCCGTCACTTCGAATAAAGGTTTCGAGCAGTGCATCCTTCCCTGTCCCCTTTTCAAGCCACTGCTTGTGAATGTCCTCGGGCACGTCTAGCTTGCCTGAGACCGGCTTCTTGCGACACATGCGATCGAGTTTTGCCCTCCATCGATTGTAGGCCGCAGTGGTCAAGACCAGGTTTCCAACCTTCTTCTTGGGCACTTCCTGCAGCAGCCCGATCCTATAATGTATGATGCCAGAGCCCTGACCACACAAACCCAAACATGAAAAAACCTTTGCTGCTGGAGGCATCCAGATCCTCATCGCTGCCGCGGACAGAGGAGTCCGGTGTTCTTGTCGAACCTTTTGAGAGAGTGGAATCCGGTGTCACCTGCCCACACAAATCTGGCTGGCAAATATATATATGTTCCCACACATGTGTTTGCTACATACCTACTTTATGACGCCAGGTGTGTACGTACATATTCACAATATATATATATATATATATATATATATGTACACCGATGCACCAACACACCATGTTCATGTGCTATCTGCAGAGATGTTCATATGTTCCATGTGCACTTACATTTGTAGACATTAGTGTATATACATACAGGAATATACATATATATATATATATATATATATATCTATATACATATATCTATATGTGTATATATATATATATATGTTGTTATGATATTTTCATGCATGCCTACATACATGAATGTATATATATATATATATATATGCACAAGAACAATGTCGCACAAAACATGGCATGCTTCACAACACTGAAACACAAAATCGTATACGACACTATGCAACACGGTGCTAGGTACACAGCATGTGTACAGTCATGCGCATGTATACATATATCGAATAAGATATATCATATATACAACCATAGAGCTACCCACATAAGGCACACATAAATTGATATACACACAGACTTAGATTTGTGCATATATTCAAAGAGTACATAGAGGCATGGGAACAAACACAATATCATAAACACTGAGTATGCAGACATGCAAGAAGAAGTTGAGGCCGAATATGCTTCCACATATGCAGACACATCTCTATAGTGCGCACATGCTTACATTGCCTTAGACACAAGGACTCGACTTGTTGTGCACACACACAAACACACCTAGGGATACTTTCTATATAAAAGGGTCTTTGCTAGGAGTAGGTATACATAACTTCCCAGTCGACCCTTAAAGCACAAGTGAAACCTCAAACCAAATCATCAGAACTGCCTAGTTCATCGCTTCCTCACAATGCCAGGGCTGTACCTAATTCCTCTGATGCAAACATACACTATAAAGTAATATCACACACACAGACAAGCCCACAAACAACCCTAGCGCAATGAACCACTTAGAATAACCCCCAGCCTTGTCCTTTGCTTGGCCGTCCGGCCCGGTGTTCTCCGTAGCTGTGGCTCTTGGAGGGGTCTCTAGGGGCGTGGTTCCAGAGGCTTCGGGCTTCTGCTCAGGGACAACTTTGGGAGGGCTCTTCCCGAAGAAGTCCGGGATTGACTTCTGGGGGCTTGTGATATCAATCGCATGTTGCCTTGGCGGCTGGGGACAGCTTCTTTTGGCGGCAGGGCTTGCAAAGATAGCTTGGGACATATTCTGGGGACTTCTGCTCTTGGCAGGGCTTGGAGCTGTGGCAAGACTTGTGTTCTTGGCAGGGCTTCGAGCTGTGGCAAGAATTGTGTGCTTGGTAGGGCTTCCAACTGCAGGGGCGATCGGCTTCTGATGGCTTAGTTGTTCTGGACAAGCACCCTGGGTCTCAGCATTCTGCAGGAAGTAGCTTGCTAGCAGGCCATCCTCCATATCAGCATCTCCATCAGGCCCATATGGACCCGTCATCGCCCCATCAGACCCATATGGATCCTGCATCGCCCCATCAGACCCATATGGATCCTGCATCGTCCCATCAGACCCATATGGATCCTCCATGGCCTCATCAGACCCATATGGATCATCAAGCACCTCGGCCGGTTGAGAATTAGAATACACTCATACTTATAGGATAACCTATATATATATACATATAACCATGTTGGCACACATAGACTACATAATAGTTGAATGACAAAACTTGTCTTCCTGATCCCCCGCGAAAGACATCTAGGTACATGGGGTTTGTATACATGTATATATATAATGCTTGCAACTTCTATATAGACCTATATATGGATTACCCCTGTACAGACACGTAATACATATACATACATACAGACATACATATGCATATACATATACTATATACATATATATATATACACTATATTTTTAATATGATAGTATCAACGGAATCCTGGAGCGTACACACACCTGCAGCAACAAGAAACAAGAAGTTTGTCGGTGTTCACCATATAGTTGCATATGATAGGTACGTACATATATATATATATATATATATATATATATTCAAGTATGTGGCTCTATGTCTTTGTGTTCGGCCGTATGTGTGTTTATTGTAACTTTTGATGAATGCATGCACGCGTGCATTCATTCATGATATTGCACGATCACAACAACATTGTAGCTTAAAGATGCCTACCTGCCTACTGACCGTTGCACTCAGTATGAAACTTAAAGGGCAATGTCAATAAAGTCCGGGAGTATGCCAAGTCATGTGTGCTCATATAGGTCTACATGGCTCTGGTGTTGAAACCACACAAGCCAGGATTGCAGCCCTCTCTCGATATTGTTGTTTCACTACATAAAGTAGAGGACAACTGCAGACTGATCTAGTGCACCCTGTTTGTATATATACAGTATACTTTGTAGTTCTGGGACAGATAAATGATGCATGTACATATACAACTCTTATATCACAAGCACTGAGACATGAGGACCAAGAGGTAGCCGGGCCAGAAGCAAACCCAAAGCACACAACTGATCCTTGACCACCAGCTATCATGACCTTTGAAACCTGGGTGCTGTGTCCGAAGCTTCGTGTGCAGCAGGACTCGATGAGCCATCCATATGCACATCGCGGAGGACCGGCACGGAAGCGAGCTCTTCTTCCAAAGACCTTCTGCAGCTAGGTGGGGCTACAGGTTCCGCCATGGGTTCCGCAAGCACGTTCTCACATGGGGTGGCTTCGGACTTGGTGGACATTTCCTCCTTCTTGGTCGCTGTGGCCTTTAGCTCCTGTATATGGAATATATATATATATATGTATATATATTATATATATTAATATAGACATATATATATATATATGTATACATACAGTTTTACCTTATACAAAATGAATCTATTTGAATATGAATATATAATATTATGTATATATGTACTTGTTTAAGTATCACTGCATAGCAGAATACAACTTCTTATAGTTACACAGGTTGCGTGTGAAAGATTACAGTATAGTATACAGACTACAGAGAAGTATCTCATGATGCGGTGTAGTTTGTGCACATTGCCATCATCGCATGAAGGGCATTCGAACAAGTCAAGACAGTGGAACATACAGGAAGATAGTGTGGGCCCGTATGTAGAGACACATATACAGATGCACAGTGCACTATGCCAGGTACGTATGTTAGCCCAGGTATGACATGCATACACAGACATTATATATATATATATATATAGTTGACATGAGGTCAATATCTTACATATATACAGCATCGCAGTTCTACAGTTCAGAAGCTACTTCATACAATACACTTGCGTATTTTCATATCTTACAAGAAGATGTGCATGTAGACAAGTGCCATTATTTACATGAACATGTTCATCTAGAACGGCTCATGTGGTTCTAAAGCAGATAACATCGACAGGTGCATATATATAGCAAAGGAACATCAATATATTGATAGCTGGATATATAAAAATGTATTTGCAGACAGAGCCGAAGAAACACCATTGTAGAACATGACATACACAATATATATATATATATATATATATATATATATATATGTACAGTGTATATATATATATATATATATATTATACTACATTATATGTGTATATCTCTCTTTCTACATATATATATTATTATATTAGCTTAGATTTTATGCTCTATACACATATACTGTATATACTTTATATACTACGTACAGAACACCGGAAACAAAAACTAATATAACAACATGGGGAGCAGCATCATAACATACATTAAGTATGAAGCAGCACTCTTAAAGCCTATGTTCATTTCGGTGTGCATATATAAGAATATATAATATACATCTATATAGATTATAACATATCTAGAGTTAACACGTAGTTATTTGCCACCCTGTGCACATGTAGTCAAAACAGCCTGCGAAACTTGCTCGGTAGCAGTACAAGTGGTGTGGTTCATGGCAATGGACTATATAAAGCAGGATGTCCTGAAGCATGGCAGCAATCTCCAATGGGTTATCTGGAAGAGCTTCCAGAAGTTGCTGTGCATCCAATGCACCCAAAGCAGATGTCAAGGAGCTGCACGACCACTGGCGGCTCTGAAGCCGTGTGGGCTTTCGCTGAAGGGACATGATTCAGGCCCACGGAGGAACTAATCCTCAAAACTAAGCACAACAAAAGCCTTGATGAGACAAACGAGTGAAGCAGCACGTCAAAATGCATCTTGGAGGTGTTCAGTTCTATGTTGGAAAAGCCACGCCAATCGCACGCCTAAAAACGGGCGTTGCACGGGTTTTGCGCGGGTTTTGCGCGGGTGTTTTCAGGCGTTGGTTTTCAGGCGTTGTTTTACGAGCGTTTGGTACGGGTGGTTCCGGGCGTTGCACGGGTGGTTCCGGGCGTTGCACGGCTGATTCCGGGCGTTTACGGCTGAAAACGGGCGTTCGGGCGTTCAATACCATGAGAACCGGCTGAAACGGCTATAAAATGGTTCCAAGAACCCTCGAATGCCTTTTAAAATGGTCGGGCCACCACACGCGCGGAATCTGAGACCGTGATTTGGGCTCCTGTGACCGAGATTTGGGGTTCCGAGTGCACACTCACAGTTGACTCTAAAGCACTGCATGCAAAGACAAGCACACACAAAGACACACAGCTCACATGTAAATGCAATGCTGCATGCATCAGTGGAAGCAACTACGCGATCTCAGTTTTCATTGCTTGAACCATCAAGCCAATCGAAGCTCGAGCTCTGCACATTCGCCAGCTTTATACATACTCCGGCAAAACTTGCTTCCAAGCACCAGGAATGCGTAAGGACTTTGCTCCATACAGGTACTTGACAACATCTCTCATTGCGGCCTCATCCCACATAGAACCCCAACTCCACGAAACCCACATCTCAAGTGGGTCTGCTGTCTCATCTGGATCATCAAGCTTTGGGCAAGCACGGATGAGGCGACCACATTCTTCAGCAATCTTGTCACCAAATTCAGGTGTGTACTTCCTAAGCTTCAGAGACACAATCTGTTCCAAATTCCAGAAACACACAAGACCTCCACAGAAACACTTAAGATATTGAGGTACGGGACCCTGTCATCTTCATCGATTCAGTGCCATGGAATTTAAGCCGTCCTGCAGCATCTTCGTAGCGATGAACAGGATCCCGGAGATTCGATGGGTTGCGCTGCTTCTCCTCCGCTCTGACCTGAGATCGCTTGAGTTGCCGGGTCCAAAACCCGTTGATAGCAGAGCTTCGTGACCATATGATCGTAGGTTTCGGCGTCCGTGCTCCATAGTGCCACATCCAGAATTTGCATTTGAAAACCTGGTGCTTCAAAGTCTCTGAATCAGACACAAGGCGATCAGCTTTTCTGTCAGACTTGCATGTATGGGAAAGCTAAACTTGTGCCCGAGAAGCTTGCATCAGGCCACAGACATGTTGCATAGCCTCCGTGTCAAACAAGATAGATGAAGCTGGCTGCTCTATCACCCAGCAGCCACCAAAAGCCGCTGTCGCCAGGCAGAGCATCGCCACCCTCGCAGGCTTGCTGGGTTGTAATATACTTAAGGAGGGAACCTGGGTTTTAGGCTTCAGGGTCTATATATATATATATATGTGTATATGTATATGTAATATATATATATATATATATATATATATTTATTTATTTATATTGTCATAACTCTACTATAACCGTTTCGGTATAGGAGTTTGGGTTTAGAGTTGCCTAGGCCCTAGAGTCCCTTTTCTAGGAACGGGCTAAGTTAGAAATTCTACAGGGTCAACATATAAGGGTTTGAAACAAGAATTAACGGTCAAACCTTCTTGCTGAAAAGGCTATGGGATTCAGTAGGATTACCAAGGGTGGCGGGTGTTCATCAGTTTGACAAGCTCAAGCATTGCAAAGAAATTTCTGTAGTGTATAGTGGCCTCAGAATGCACAAGGAGACACAGCGGTGTTGGAAAGTAGTTCCAGATGGTTAAAGTTTTAGAAGTTCCAGATTTAGGGCTTGCAGGGTTTAAGCAAACCCTAAAACCTTAAACCCTCCACCCTTTTTCTGTAACACCTAGACTCCTGGACCCTTAAACCCCTAAGCCTCTAACGCTGTACCAAACCAAGCCATACTCTCCTCTCTAAACCACAAGCCCCGACACCAACCCTGTAGCCCGGGTGCCAGGTCTAAGCCCATTGCCACCTTATAGCCAATCTCTGGATGGTCCTGTGTTAAGGTTTCCCACAGATAGCTGCTTTTCATCCTTGTACAGTTACCAAGTGGATTCTGCCACTTCGGCTTAGATCCTTTGCAATATATTATTATAAACATATATTCCATGGGTTGGATAAGTGCCATACTCCCTACTGCCCAAAACAAGCCAAGCCAGATCAGCTGATGAAGCCGCATAATTAGTTTTTTTTTTTGGTGGCGGCGGCTACTGGACTACAAGGAGACACCTGCAGTACTACCCAGCGCTGAAAGATGACATCAACGCTTTCCTCCCGGAGCTCGACCCGTCGGGAGTCAGTGGTCCTGACATTGTGAGCTTCCGTTGGGAGTTGGGAAGCCGCGCTGTGCAAGGCACCGATATCGTCAAAGAGACAGCGGCACGGGTTTCGATAAGTCGACCCGGCGGTCTTGGTACCTGCTGCAGATGCGAGCCTTGGGCCACAAGCCCCTCCTCCCTCGGGAGTTGAAGAATGTGGCTGGGAGCGAGCGATTGCACGCATTCAGAATCGACCTCGAGCACTCCTTTTCAGGGTGTAGGGAGATCTTGCACCAGTCGGGCACGTAATCGCATCTGTACACCCCCGATTTCGGTTTAGGTGGCCTGGTGCAAGATTTCACAATTAGGGCTTGCCACTTCATGCTGCACGTGCTCTGCACCATGTGCAAGACTAGGTCTTTGAGCCATTAGGGTTTATAGGGATCAAGGACCTATATTGCCCCTAGCCTAAGAGCCCTACACCCCTGTCGACCCTTAAGATCTCTCTCTGGGTGGCCTTCATCCAAAGCTGCTTGCAGACCAAGTTATTGCCATTCTTTTATTATATACATTATCTATTCCCCAAGCAATGCCCTAAACAGCCCTGAGCTTGGAATCCCTGGGAACCTTCCATTTAAGGTTTAGGTCAGTTTCAGGTTTTGGGTTGTAGGATTAAGCTAGGATATTGAATATATATATATATATATATATATGTGTATCGGTTTGTATATGAGTGTAATTCTTTACTATATGCATGATATATGCATATGGTATAATATAAGTTTATATCCGGTATATATATAACATATATATATATATATAAACGAAGACCATATACAGTTTCATATATGTATATTCAGCATAATATATATATATATATATTAACATTGGAGTTTTTTGGGTTCTTGGGTTTAGGAAAGCCCAAAGCCCACAACACCAAGCCGTCTATGAAGACGCCCGCCGCGACACGCTGGGTCATGCTAGGCATCATTTGGGTTACATCTGAACAAAGATAAAGATATCCTGGAAGCACTCTGCATCAATGAGCTCTCAGGTTTAGGTTATTTGGAGTTTGGGTACATAGAGGTGCAAAGGGTGCTGGTCTAGAGTGTTTGGGGGGCCACGCATGCTTTGCTTGTTTTGCCATGTTGCAGATAGGCTTCAGGTTCAATGCAGTAATACAGAATATCCACATTGTTCCTCGGGGACAGGGTGCGTGGACAAACATCTGGTGTGTCTTAATATCACTCAAATGTTTTCGGTTTGGGAAGGGCCGTCTGCATTTAAGAGACCTCTAAGCTTCAGTTCTGTCTTGAGGGCCACTCTTTACGGTTCAAACAACTATATCCAATCTAAATCAGAACCTCCGTAAAGAAAGCGAAATACCCTTGCAAGAACCCACATGAACACCCGAAGTCCCATAGCTCCTGTTGAATCCCCATAGAAGTAGTATACAGGAATATTACATAGGGTTGTCTAGATCATGTTTATGAATCTTATAAGAAGGTAAACATCTTTGTCGGCACAGGTTGAAAGCAAGCAGTGTTGCGCAGTATTTAAGCCAGGGTGCCGCCATGAAAACTAGCAGGTAACACTAATATATAGCCTGAAGATATAACAGTCCCTAAAGGCTACCCAGAACCATGGATGCTAACCCTCTCAACTTGCATTGCACCCACTGCAAATATATACCTACACAAAACACAGGCTTAACCCTACTTTGTATGTGTGCACTGTGGTACTGCTAGAATATATCCATGCAATACATAACCGGTTCTGGCCCTGTCTCTTGTAAATCTACTCTGCCTAGCACAAATATCAATCAATCATGAATCCCAGGCGTGGGAGACGATCCCAGTGTTGCTGGGCAGAACAAGATGAAAGTGGATACAGGCCGGCTACCGTCTGACATCCATATCCATGCATGCTGAGATGACTTGAGAATCCTGAAACCCCAAGAAACTGAAGCATAACTTAGCCATTTATGGCACCCAGGCTATGCCAAATTAAGCTTAGTCAGAGCACTTATTTCCACCATGAACTCAAGGCCAAGCGCCCCCCTCCCCAGCCTGGCTGTCATGATGTTGGCCCGTTGGACATTTGGGAGGCTTTCATCTCCCTCAGGATTTCCCCTGCAGCGCCCGGTGGATCCTCTGGATGTAAGTATATAGGATGAGCAGACCACACCCATCCAATGTACGAAGCCTCCCCTGCACCCACGCAGGATAGCTGTCATACAGGCCCTGAGCTCCATCCCATTTCACATGTGATTATCACAACTACATGGCAAGTCAGCATCATGTTTCTGTAAGTGCTTGATTTGTGCCGAGAAACGCCATGCCACTGTGACGTGTGACATCCATCGAAGATGTATACAGGACATCCAGGGCAACACTTTGTTTCGTTGGGAATGCTCTTTTAAATGCAGTCGTTGCTGCCGCACAGCCTGCAAAGGACTCGATGAAGTCATAGGAGTGCTCCTGCTGAGGGTTTCTATTGCTTGGATCTGGGGTGAGCAAATCAAGACCCTAAGCAGTTATTATTTGGGATTGCAATTCCAAGCCTATATGTTTATTCCCACAGCATATCAGATGACTCTTAGATCTTAGTAGCACAGTCAGCATCCATTTGTGTGTACTGTAAACGACTGGCTTCGGGGAAAAGTTAGTTTATATTTATAATGATATATATAATAATAATCATGTGTGTAAGCATGCATGCACATATATATATATATATATACTCTAATATATAATATATTAATATATACACTGTTTCCACATATACGTATAATCTGCACATATAGATATATTATATAGTATTATAAACACACACACATATATATATATATATATATATATATTCATATTCGTTTATACATCTATATCTATCTATATATATATATATATATATATATATATGTGGGCTCCTATCTATATATATATATATATATATACACATAGATCTATATAACATGTACATGCTAGTGCTGGTGATGATTGGTTCAATGTCACATGTAAAGTCTGAAACAAGCAGCACATGTGACCTGATGATTATACACGAAATAAACATTATGGAATCCCAAGATTATGTGAAAGGAATGTGGTTGTCTATATTACAACAAAAATGTCCAACTGGAGAGCCTGCATGTTGATAGACAAGTAACTAGACATCTCCTCACTTCTAGAGATCTCGTGCCAGAGATGCATGCTTACACTCATCAAGAACTTACATAGCTACATAGGTGCAATGGGCAATAGAACTTTAAGTCCTAGCCTGATGAAGCAACCGTGCCCACAAAAGCCCAGGCTGAAAACTGCCATCACACACCTCCTCCGCCAGGTTGATGTCTGCGTTCCAGATGAGCAAAAGGAAAGCCAAGGCGAGCACCTGAAGTAGATGAGGGCATCCCAAGTACAATTGGACTAGGAGGAACACCTGCTTGCACAGATCTCACGAGCTGTTTGCGTAACTTAAGTCATGAGGAACAGATAACCATTATAGCAGCTGTAGCACCTTGGGAGCACCAACTGCACGAAGGCGGTGGAGGATTCGAGCTTCAGTCCAGGGTGCCATGGTCACTGCTAAAATCAATGAAGGTAGATATGAACGATCCTCATTACAGGCTAGGCTGAGTCCTTCCGAGCTTGTTTCTCATGAAGTGAGCACATCCCCTCAAACCAGGCTTTAGATCATTAGTGGCATCATGTGCATGCAAGTTAGGCACAAAGCTGCATATTCATATTTAAGCCACAAGAGGCTACAGCCTCAGCACACCAAGCATTCACTGCACATGCCAGCTGACCAAATCATGTGAGGCT